GAGGAGGAATTAAAGAACCTCGTAATGAAAGAGGAGAGTGCAGAAAACGGCTTGAAACTCAACATCAAAAAAAATAAGATCATGGCCACTGGTCCCATCACCTCCTGGGAAATAGAAGGGGAAGATATGGAGGCAGTGACAGATTTTATTTTCCTGGGCTCCATGATCACTGCAGGTGGAGACAGCAGCCACGAAATTAAAAGACCCCTGCTTCTTGGGAGGAAAGCAAAGACAAACCTTGACAGCATCTTTAAAAGCAGAGACATCACCTTGCCAACAAAGGTCCGTATAGTCACAGCTATGGTTTTTGTAGTAGTGATGTATGGAAGTGAGAGCTGGACTATAAAGAAGGCTGACCGCCGAAGAATTGATGCCTTTGAATTGCGGTGCTGGAGGCGGCTCTTGAGAGTCTCCTGGACCACAAGGAGAACAAACCTATCCATTTTGAAGGAAATCAACCCTGAGTGCTCACTGGAACAACAGATCCTGAAGCTGAGGCTCCAGTACTTTGGCCATCTAATGAGAAGAGAAGACTCCTTGGAAAAGATCTTGACATTAGGAAAGTGTGACGGCAAGAGGAGAAGGGGATGACAGAGGATGAGATGGTTGGACAGTGTCTGCGAAGCAACCAACATGAATTTGACACAACTACAGGAGGCAGTGGAAGATAGGAGGGCCTGGTATGCTCTGGTCCATGGGGTCACGAAGAGTTGGACACGACTAAACAACGACGACGATTTTTCAGGATACTGGTAATATAAGATAAAAGTTCCCCTTGACATTTTAGTCCCCGTCGTGTCCGACTCTAGGGCGCAGTGTTCATCCCGTCTCCAAGCCATAGAGCCAGTGTTTGTCCGTAGACAGTTTCCGTGGTCACATGGCCATCACGACTAGACACGGAATCCCATTACCTTCCCACTGTTGTGGTACCTATTTATCTATTCACATTTACATGCTTTTGAACTGCTAGTTTGGCAGGAGCTGGGACAAGCGACGGGAGCTCACTCCGTCGCGTAGATTCCATCTTGCAACTGCTGGTCTTCTGACCTTGCAGCACAGAAGCTTCTGAGGTTTAACCTGCAGCACCATCACATCCATGCTCGTAATATAAACCCTACCCCAAAAATAAGCCCTAGTTAACTGAAAGCCTGCCTTCCACCACTGTGCAGCAGCCAGAAGAAGATGACATGACTGTATTTGAATAAACGTAGCTTGTTGTACATGAAAAGAATAAAACATCCCCTGAAAATAAGCCCTAATGTGTTTTGGCGGCAAAAATTAATATAAGATCCTGTTTTATTTTGGGGGAAACACGGTATTTACACAATAGCAAGCAAAGTATACATTTATCACTTAATATTGAACTTAGGTATGCATGGATGTAAACTTTGTTTTTGCTACATGTTATCAAGTCATCTTGGACTTACAGTGAATAAGTGATCTCCAGACTGTCCTGTCCTCAACAGGACTGCTCGTCTCTTGTAAACTCAAGCCTATGGCTTCCTTAGGGAGTCAAGCCATCTCACACATGTTCTTCCTCTTTTCCTGCTGTCTTCAACTTTTCCAAGCATTACTGCTTTTTTCTCCAGGGAATCTTGCCTTCTCATTATGTGCTTAAAATATGACAGCCTTGGTTTTGCTAGGCTGTCATATTTTGAGCACATTATGCTCAAAGGAGTTCAGGCATGATTTACTCTAGGCCCACTTCTTTGTCTTTCTAGCAGACCAGGGAATCTACAAAGCTCTTGTACAATTTTCATGTTTCAAATGAATGCATTTTTTTCCTTTCAGCGTACAGAACTACATTTTCATATTTCAAATGAATGCATTTTTTTCCTTTCAGGCTTTTTCACTCTCCAGCTTTGATACCCATACATAGTGATCAGGAATAATATTGTGTGGACAATTTTGGACTTGGTTTTTAGTGATACATCTTTACACTTAATATTTTGTAATTCCTTCATTGCTACCCTCCAGAGTCCCAGTCTTCTGATTTCGTGGCTGCAGTCTCCATTTGGATTTATGAATGATCCAATAATTAACAATTTCAATTTCTTTATTGTCAACATTAAAGTTATATAGTTTTTCTGTAACGACAACAGCAATGTGCCATCAAGTCAGTTCTAGACTATGCTGACCCTTTTGAGTTTCTTTTGTTTTGGCCTGATATGTCAGCACAAATTAACCTGACTACCTCTTCTAAAACTACAACTCTTCAAAAGAGTGTGTCATCATATTATCTTTTCTGTATAGGTCTTCGGTATGCTATTTACAACTTTTCTTCATTTTCAGTCAGATACTGTGTTTCTCTGTTGGTCTTTCAGCATTCCTAATTCAGACTTGAATTTCCCTTTTATTTTTTGGATCTTCTGGAAGAGATCTCTTCTTTTTCCCCTTTTGTTCTACTTACTTGCACTGGTCATTATAAAACTTCACTGTTTCTAGGTGACAGTTGCTGAAAAGCTGTATTCAAGATTTTGACCCTACGTGTGCCATCTTTTAGCTTTAGTAGGACTATATATGTTGTTGTTGTTGTTCAGTCGATAAGTCGTGTCTGACTCTTCATGACCGCATGGACCAGAGCACGGCAGGCACTCCTGTCTTCCACTGTCTCCCAGAGTTGGGTCAAATTCATGTTGGTAGTTTCAATGACACTGTCCAACCATCTCGTCCTCTGCCATCCCCTTCTCCTCTGGCCTTCACACTTTCCCAACATCAAGGTCTTTTCCAGGGAGACTTCTCTTCTCATGAGATGGCCAAAGTACTGGAGCCTCAGCTTCAGGATCTGTCCTTCCACAAGCGTCTTGTGGAAAGGTGCGTCTTATGGAGCGAAAAATACGGTAATGTAAAGATTTATCAATAGCCTGAACAACCCAGCCAGTGCATCCACATATATGTCCATATAAACTTATACATGTACAAGCATGTACATACACTCAAGTGGACATACACGGAAGCTCCTTCAGAAAACAAATAGCTCCATAGTATCTCATCCATGTTTCTGGAAAGCAATCTTCATATCTAGCCTAAGCCTGATGGCTATTTAATAACTGTGTATATATCTGTTTCACTCAAAGAACTTATGTCCCAATATTGCTACAATATTTCACTTAAAAGGCTATGTCCTTGGGGAAACAGATTATATTTCTACAATTCACATCATGTTTTGTGTTTATTTAATACTCTTCAGTACCATCAGCAGCAGTCTTGGATGAACACTTGTCAGTGGCAGAGTACACAGCTGTAAGAAACCTGCAAAAACACATTTCAACCTACCCCTCATATTTAATAATCTGCTTGGGAGAACACTAGGAAAAGCAAAGTCACAGAATATTTCAGTGTGCTAAAACCAATGAGGTCAACAACAAGAAAACTTAATTGTAACCAGAAAAATACATCAAACATCCCAATTCTGATATTTGTTAAAAGATCAAAGAAACAAGTCAGATTTATCTTGTATAATCACTGGCTCATCAAAGCAAATTGCTTCCATAACTAACTTTTTTGATGGGAGTTTTACAAACAGACGTAGCTGTGTTACTGTTGAGGCCTATTTTTTCAAAATCAACAGCCTTAAGTGGTTGTTCCCACAGGAACCATTTCAAATAGGACTCTCTATTTCTAAATGCCACCCTGGTAAAGTTCTGACGGAGTTTACACTGCTGGGCTTTACGTCGTTCACCCAAAGGCACTTCTTGTGACCATCTGATAAAGGAATCTTGCAGCAGAAAAAAACACATTCCTTAAAAGGGGCCATAAAACATGAAGAAAAATCCAAAACCAGTCCAAAATTCTTTTTTAGATAGTATTATTTAAAAAGTAGAAAGAATGGGAGAAAGGTAAGAAATATAACTACTGTATTCACAAATGTCTTTCGTTTCCATTGCAAATAAAAGTAATGGAATGTTCCCAAGGTGTTGCTTCATCAGCAGTTAAGAAGGAACTGAGCAACCATACTGGAGAGGAAGGGAAAAGGCCTCCAGGAAGAAACTAAATGAAGGAAATATTTTCTGAACGTAAAAAGAAAGCCTTGTTGAATAAGATCAACATCTTATGTTGACCAGTGGTGGCGAACCTTTTTGGGTTCGCGTGTCCAAACTGGAAGAAGAAGAAAAATCTGGGTGGTGGAGCTGGAAGTGATGGCAGAAGGGGGAAACGTGTCCAAACTGGAAGAAGAAGAAAAAACTGGGGTGGTGGAGCTGGAAGTGATGGCAGAAGGGGGAATCCCGGGCACGGAGGTGCCTCGAGACCCCACTCCAGATCTGCCGCCAGCACCAGCTGCTCCGGATCCTGACCCGCCACCTATCCAGGCACCACCACCACGGTTGCAGCCGCTTGCTTAGGTTTGGCTGTGCAGGGGGAGGGGGGAGTAGGGATCCAGCGACTTATGACTCATGTGCTGGCAGAAAGGGCTCTGCGTGCCAGCTGTGGCATGCGTGCCATAGGTTCGCCATCGTTGCTATATACTATAGAAGTCCATCAGAGACCTCTGAGAAACGCTTTTGCAAACATGATTTCTGTTTCACTGACAGAGGAAAAGTAGAATTCTAGCAATTTTATTCACATATATTTTATTTTTATTTTACACACTTTCTGAATTAATCCAAATATAGATTAAAGTTAAAATACTAATTAACCATAAAGGACAGATGAAAATATTCCTAAAATCACATATATAATATCTTCCACATATCCTAAAATTCTGAATCAGAACAATTGTTTTATTGGTGTGTTTTTTTTTAATTATTTTTCAACATCTCCTTATACACAGCAGAAGCTGTAATGCTGACAGAATTTCTGTAAGAGAGATGGGCCTCATGGCATTGATGACAGGGCTACAGAAAAACAAACACAGTTCTAAGGAACACTTAAGACTACTTGCTTTAGAAATTTGTAGAGGTTAAATGGTTATCCAAGTGTAAAATACATTTTTTTAAAAAGAAATAACTTAAGCCAAGGTCACACCACACTGTTTCATATAGATATCCTTTGCTACTTACCCACTTTTGGTGTAATGATCCTTCTCTTTCCCTCTGGCCTTCTCTTTCTCTCTTGCTTTCTCTTTCTCTCTCCCTTTACGCCTTTCTTTGTCACGTGATCTGCTACGGGTTCTGTGACTGATCCTTTCACTACTTCGACTGTAAGAACGCTGGTGAGGTCTGGAATGTGACCTATATATTAAAACAATAAATAAAAACTATGTGGAAAATGTTGCAATTCCAGCTATTTTAATGTCATTATCTACCTGTTACCTTTATTTGCAAAGAACTCATTTGTTCATGAATATTTCTCAGTTTAAAAACACTACTAAATGAGATGAAAAAATAAGGAACAAAGTAGAAATGTTTCTTGAAACACGCACTCATCAAAAACTGATAGTGTAGTACCGTTTAAGGGGAAACAAACAAGCAAAACCTTCAGGTGTCCCTAATCAAAATCAGAACATCAGAAGCAGAAGACAATATTAACTGTAATTTTCTCCACAAAGCTGAAGAGAAAAAAAGGGTAGGGAACTTAGCATACCATCACAGAAACGTGGTCTTTAGGACATACATTCTCTATAGGAACTTGACAAGAACAGCAAGCTTTATAAGAATAATATTCATGATAAAATCGTTAACTTTTTAAAAAGCATATGAGCCCAAAAATATCTTGGGCTGGATAGTAAGTTAACTGAGATTTTTTTAAAGTTTTCCTCTGTTAATTTCCCATGATATATTACAACCTCAATGAAATTTCCATTCTATGGCAGGGTAAACAATGCCCATGCCCAAAGGAGCACCTCCATTCTCAAACTCATCAGGAGGAAGAGTGAATTAAAAAACCTCTCTGTCCTCCAGTGAGCACTCAGGGTTGATTTCCTACAAAATAGATAGGTTTGTTCTCCTTGCAATGTGTAACAAGCATTCCAGGTCCATTGTAGGTGACAGAAAGAACGCAGGGAGGACAATAGGTTGTGACAGATGGAAAGTTGACACTACCTTAGGCAAGAATGAGACATCTGGAAATAAAGTAACTTAATCGGGATGGAATTGGAGAAAAGGAGGGTTAATTCTTAAAGCCGCAAGCTCCAAGGCTCTATGTGCAGAGGTGACAGCGACGAGAAACAGCGTTTTGAGTGAAAGGAGGTATTCAGACGTATTGGCAAGTGGCTCAAAAGAAGAGTGGGAGAGGCAGTGTAGCACCAGAGAGAGAGACCACTGTGGAGGTGATGAAGGAGCAGAAGGGCGCATGTTGGTGACACCTCGTAAAAAACTGTTTGAGCTTCGGGTGACGGAAGAGTGTATAAGCATCTGAGTTGGTGAGTTATGGTTGCAGATAGGTAGACTTTCAATGTTGAAAGTGACAGATGGTTATGAAAAAGGTAGGAGAGAAATTGTAGCACAGTTTCTAGATTGGTCGGATAGACTGGTAAGTTGAGTTGACTAGCAAATCTAGTGAAGCTAGACCATTTATAAGAGGATAATTTGGTTGTGCAAGAGCCAAAATTTCATTCACTGAAGTGAGATTCTCCAGGCTGTGAGATTGAGAGTTTGCACGTATGGATGGAGAGTTTGACCGTGGTGTTGGGAAAGTAGGTGTGGGACCGGAGACAGTCTGAGGTAGTCGCTGCTCAGGGATTTGAGGAGTGTGAACTATGGTTGCCTTGGCCACCATGGGTCGATGAGGATAGCATTGGCATGATCCTGTCTGATCTTGGATATGGTGTGAAGGAGTAGTGGAAAGGGAGGGAACATGTAAATCAGGTTCCTGGACCAGTCTTCCATCAGAAAATCTCCCTGGGATCCACGTCCTATTCCTCCTCTGGAATAGAATTTGTCACATTTGGTATTGCTGTGGGTCACAAACATGTCTATATCAGGAGTTCCCCAGCGGTTGCAGAGGTTGAGATATACTGTGTGGTCTAGTGACCATTTGTGCATTTTGTTTTGTAGATGACTGAGTCCATCTGCCACCGTGTTGTCATGTGTGGCTATGAAAACTGCCATGGGAAAAACATGATGTTCCAGACACCATTCCCATATCTGAAGTGTTAGATAAAGAAGTGGGAGGGAATGGGTGCCTCCCTGTTTGTTCAGGTAAAACAGAGCTGTTGTATTGTCTGTTGTGATCTGTATGATGTTGCCAGATACAAGTGGCTCGAAGGCCTGGAGAGCTTTGAAAATCACGAGGAGCTCTAGGTTGTTTATGTGGAGCACTTCTTTGTGTGGCCACCTGTTGTATATTTGTAGTCTGTTGCAATGTGCACCCCACCCGGTAGTGCTTGCATCTGTTACGATTTGTTTCGTGGGTTGTAGAGGGGAGAAAGAGCAACCCATGAACAGGTTGGATGGGTTGTCCCACCAGCAAAGTTGGGAAGAGAGTTCTGGTGTTACCCTGAGAAGTTTGGATTGTCTGTTATGGGATCAAAGAGGGGGAGGAACCAAGACTGTAGGGAGTGAAGTTTTAGTCTGGTGTGAAGAATCGTGGATGTGGTTGAGGCCATGAGGCCTAAGAGACATTGAGCAGTGTGAGCAGTGACGAGATTGTGTGGGCGGAATTGGTTTATCAAAGTATGACGTTTGATTATTCTTTCTTGAAGAAGAAAGGCTCATGCCCTTGTGGAGTCTAATTGGGCGCCAATGTAGGTAATATGTTGGGTAGGCATGAGAAGAGATTTTTGTTTGTTGACCTTTAGGCCCAGATCCACCAGAAATGAGAGAGTAATTTCGATATCTTTTAGAGCTTGTGTGTGAGATGGAGCAACCACAAGCCAGTCATCGATATACGGAAAAACTGTAACTCCCAGGGTACACAGGTGGGCTGCCACGGGGGCCATGCACTCCGTAAATACTCTTGGTGCTGGAGAGAGGCCGAAGGGGAGAGACTTGAACTCGAAGGTGTGGCGCCCTAAGGCAAACCGGAGATATCTGTGTATGGTAATATGGAAGTACACGTCGCTGAGATCTATGACGGCAAACCAATCGTCTTCTTGAAGTATGGGTAATATTTGTTCTAACGCGACCATCCGAAAACGTCTTGAGATGATGTGATAATAGGTTCAGGATAGGTCTTAATCCTGCGTCTTTTTTCGGAACAGTGAAGTAACAAGAGAAGAAGCCGAGATGGTCTTCTGTGATGGCTTTGAAAGGAGGGACTGGATCTCTTGTTGAAGGACAGCAGATGGTGACGTTATGATGACATTTTGAGGAGGTAATTCTGCTAATTCTATGGCATAGCTGATGGCAACGATGGTAAGTACCCAGTTGTCTGATGTGATGGAAGTCCAGACTGGGAGATGTGGTGATAATTTAGTGGCGGGCATAGAAGGAAGATAAGTGTTGTTTGATTTGGGTCAGGGTGAAGTCAAAGACCCTGTTTCTGTTTTTTATCAGGGCGATGGAATGACTGTTTTGGCCTTTGTTGCTGAGTCGTATTCCTTTGTTGGGAATTAGTATTAGCTTGTGCTGAGTATTTGTTTCTATCGTAGTAAGACCGGGGTTGGTGGTATTGGTAAGGGCAACGCCATTGCGGTCGGTACGGCCTGTACTGTTGTTAGGTATTGTATGATCGTGCTGTCTTCTTAAATTTTTGTAGATTTTCCAATATATCGTGGTTTTGTCATCAAAAAGGCCGGAGCCGTTGAAGGGTAAGTCTTCAATTCTCATTCTAATGTCTTCAGGTATTTGCACAGATTTCAAATATTGTGTATCTGCAAAGGGCTATTGCTGCTACCATCTGTCTAGATGAGGCATCGATGATGTGTCTGGCCATTATTCTTTCCTGGTGAGCCAGAGTCATGGCTTCTTGGTGAAATGCTAGCCTTCGTGTCTTGTATTTACCCGAGGCTGACTGGAGAGATAGAAGGGCTTTGGACTTTAAATGATGATGGTACGCTCCCTTTGCTGCAATGTAATTAGCAGCACAAAGGTTGAAGGAGGCGATGGAATAAACCCGGTGGGCTGCAACATCTAGTTTCCTCCCTTCTTTGTTATTCGGAGTTGTGGAGGAGCAGCCATGTATTCTGCTCTGAGTTGCATACACAATAAGTGAATTGGGAGGTGGATGCTTGTAGATGAATGTGATATCATTCCCATGGGTCCTGTAGAAGTTTTTTACCTTATGTGAGATTTGCGGGATGGAAGATGGTGTAGACCACGTTTGTTTGGTCAGGTTCAGAAGTGATGGTATGAAATTCATACTTGGAGGATGAGACTGTTGGTTACTGATGTCCTCATATACTTTGTCAGTCTGTGTCAGAGGAAGTTGTTTAACATCTAGGTCGAGTGATTTGGCCACGTGTAGGATGAGTTGTGAGCATGATGAAAAATCATTCAAGGGGGACGGTAGATCATTACGATTACTGTCAGAATCAGGCATTGGTAGGTTAGGAATGGACCCTTGGTCTGGTACGGAAAGTGAGGAGTGCAATGAGGTAGAGCATGAAGAAGGAGCAGGCAAAGATGAGCCGTATAAACGAGGTGGCAAAGCTGGCACGGTATGGAGAGATTTAGAGAAAGATGGCATTGGGGTGGTAGGAGTTTGATGAGTTCATGATGGTTGGTGTTAACCCGGTACCGAGGTTTGTTTGGGATGATCTCTGGTAGATTGTTTGGTACCAGGAGCTAAAGGCTGAGGACCAGAATATGTTGTGGTTCCAAATTTTGAGGTAACGGTACCAAAGTGCAAGGCTTTTTTGATACTGTGCTATGAGACTTTGAGATGTCCGTGTACTGTCTCTTTTGGGATCTGCACGGCGGTACTGGGGAACCCGATACTGATGAGGACGAGGACTGATAGGTGTCACGGTACCGATCTTTGTACTGAATGTATGAGGATGAGGAATGTATGAGGATGAGGAATGTATGAGGATGAGAATGTATGAGGATGAGGATGTCCGTATCATAGTAATAGTGATGTCGGCAACGATGATCTCAATAATAATGAAGTTCGGAGGGATGGTATCAATCTGCTCAAAACTGAGAATGTTGTAAATCGGGTCGTAATACTCTTTGGGTTGGTAGAGTCTGATCCTCCTTGAGTGCCTATGCCTTAAGGATGGCTCCCAGGACAGGATGGACCCAGTAGGTGCCATGGGTCTATCCAAACTGGTACCGTGAGAGGCATGTTGCTCTTTCCTTTGCCTCTTCCCTGTAAGAGGGCATTGTGATACCATAGAGGCTGAGTCCGA